TACCACTCTGAAGTCCTGTCCAGTGCCAGTCTTACACCTTTCAGGCTGAAGCAGAAGACAGCTCGCAGTGGTTTCTGTGTTCTGCAGGCCTTAGACCTTGATGAAAAGTGGAGGCCTCACCTGCTATTTCCATTTCTGAGCTTCCTTTTCCTCAGCGGACCCCAGAGTGGATGGTCCCTTGAGCACCAGCACCACAGACAGAACAGCATACCAGGGCAGAATCAACTGGACATGTTGGAACTATCTCCCTCTCCTTCCTCCTCCTATCTATCCTGAACAGGTTCCCGATGCTATAAAATCTCAGTACCAGTTTCCACCCCCTCTCATTGCACCCGCGGCCATTCGGGACGGGGAGCTGATCTGCAATGGGATCCCTGAGGAATCACAGATGCACCTTTTGAACTCTGAGCACTTAGCCACCCAAGCAGAGCAGCAAGAGGTGAGTGAAGGCAGGGCTGGGATTCCAAACCCAATCTTCCTTCCATGTCACCACAGCTGTTATCGGAAGTAGCCTCAGTGTCATTCTTATTCCAGTCCCCACCCACCCTCATCCTAACCCCTCAAGAGTTGAGTAATCCAGGGGGAACCTCTGACTCAAATCCCAAAGGCAAGTAAGAGATCTACAAAGGCAACTGGTCTACTTCTCTCCGTTGTTACCCCAGTGCACTGTGAGATGGTCAAATCTATACTGTAGAAAGAGATGAGTAGACCCATAGAGAGGTTAGGTGATAGTGCTGGACATACCACAGGTGCTCGGGGTACTTGCTGAATATTGGTCACAAGTAAGCCTTAAAGGCAGAGTCAAAATGCAGATCCCAAGCTCTGTTGGCCAGAGGGTGTGTTTCCTGCTGAGGGTACCCACAAGTCTTGCTTGGGAATGGAAATGGAATTCTGTGAGGAGTCAAGCACACTTTTTGTGAGCATTTGCAATGGGACCTTGGAAACTGCTTGTCAGCTCTGCTGCAGCCCTAACCACTGTGGCAGGAAGGACCAGCACCTCTCAGACCTCTCACCCCCGTCTCCTCTCCTCTCCTTCCATTGCAGTGGCTCTGTAGTGTTGTTGCGCTCCAGTGCAGCATATTGAAACATTTATCTGCTAAGCAGATGCCTTCGCATTGGGACTCTGAACAGACAGAGAAGGCTGATATTAAGCCTGTTATTGTGACTGACGGCTCAATCACCACCTCCTTGCAAACAGCTGACAAGACACCTACACCTTCCCACTACCCTTGTCCTGCCCCTCAGGGATTAGCACCCAGAATTCCTTGAGCTGCTCTCCACCCCACCAGCCCCCAGCCCTAGAGGACATCGGCTGCAGTTCTTGTGCAGAAAAATCCAAGAAAACCCCTTGTGGGACTGCCAATGGGCCAGTGAACACAGAGGTGAAAGCTAATGGCCCACACCTCTACAGCAGCCCTACCTGTGAATTCACGGACTCCCCGGCGACTTCAGGCGCAAACCCCTCTTTACCTACCTCAAGGCTGTAACCTCTTCCGCAAGCTGGCCCAGGCCTCTCACTGTCACCTTTTTAGCGGTGGGGGCCCCTGTGAGAAACAATCCGTCGCATCATTGTGAAGACAGAGAAGCCCACTGACCCAGCTCTGCCCCAGAGGACTTTGGTTCTGTCCCAAGCCTGCCTCCCTTTCCATTCCAGACTCTTGTGCCAGCAATCTGCAGAGACACCCAGCACTTTGCAAAGAAAGACTGTCAATCACAGATAGGATTCCGTGTGACAGGATTCAGGCCACTGGCTCCCCCCAATGTCCCACCCGGCAGGTGTGCCACGTCCCCCCAAGGTCGAGGAGATGGGTGAGTCTGTTGGCCACAGGAGCCAACAACGATTCAGCTCACCAGCGCATCATCAGGTGAGTGCTGCTCAGACCTTGTGGGTGATTTTGGAATATTTTATGGCTCTTTCTGGCAATAAGACAAGATTCCAAAAGCACTTATATCCCTGTGAATACTCAGAGGCTTTGGCTCTGGTATTGTGTTGTCTTACTCCCATTTCCGTAATAGAAGAGGAAGCACATGTTAAACTTGTCCGTTTAAGATGGGTACTGCTTAGACTCTGAAAGCTTCAGTGATTCCTTAAAATTGACCTACGGAGTCAGTGGCAGGATGAACGCACCAGCCCAGGTCCCTGATTCATCCCACACTTCCAGGCCTAGGCTTCTTGCCTGTTTGTTCTGTTCACCTTAAAAGAAGGCAGGTGTCTCTGAATTACTGTGACGTATCAGCTGAGGTTGTGCGTGATGGGCCCTCAGTATTGTTAGATCCGTGCACAAAAGATGGGTCCATAGCTTGATGCATATTCTCAGATTCATTCCTGATGGACTTCCGTGTCAGGAATGCAGGGATAGACAGCAGCACTGTCTTTCAGAGGAGCTGTAGAGTGGGGATGCCCACAGGGGTTGGTCTAGCCCAGAAGCTGCCCTCGGGCCACATGCCAAAGGGCGGGCCTTTAGGTCTGTACTTGGCCTACTGTGACCTGCTCTCTCAGCTGTCCCCAGACAGCACTCAGTACCTTGAGGTTGCTGACCCCGGGCATCTGAACCAGGTTTCAGATGCTGCCGGAACCCCCTGTGGTCTCTCCCGTCTGAACTGAAGCGGCCTCTCTAGTCAGCTGGGAGTCTCGGTAACCAGGTGACTGTGATTTCTCGTGCATGGGGGCCCCTGGTCCAGGATGGCCCCACTCCCAGGCTGTTTTCCTGTCTCTGTTATCGCTTAATACCAGTGTGGGTAGATTTTCCATGCTGTGAGTCATATTTCAGTAGGCAGGAATTAAAGGGCAGGCACCACTTATTAAAAGTAGAGGCAGCAGGGAGGTGTCATGGCCCAAAGAATGAAGCTGCCCCACCACTTCCCCAGAGCAGTGGATTTCAATGATTCCCAGTGCTCTGGAGACTCCTGCGTGCCCGGGTGCTTTGTCATTCCATCTGCCCTTCCTCACCACACGTTTTTAGCTCTAGGAGTTCCAGAGCCTATGGGTTGAGAATCAAGAAGGGAACATCACCTTGGGTCCGAAATCCAGACCTGTCTCAGCAGTGGGGGATTGGACCGGTGGGTTTCCCTCAGGCGACGTAAGTAACATCTCCTGCTCCGTCCCAGATGGCAAGGTCAGCCCCGGCACGTTATCCATAGGAAGCGCTTTAACCGTACCCTCTTTCCCAGCCAACTCTACTGCCATGGTGGACCTCACCAACTCACTTCGAGCATTTATGGATGTCAATGGAGTGAGTGAATGAGCTGCTGCTGTTCCATTGGTTGCTATGTTGAAGGTGCTATTCCTATACAGCATTCAGCTCATTTCAGAAAGGGAGGGAAGGAGCACCTGATCCCAGAGCCTAGGGGGAGATGGAATGAGGAGTATCCTTTTGGATAGGGGGTAGGGTGAAAAAGAAGCTCCTTCTTTAGCTCTGCCTTCTACCTGTGCATATACACATAATCAAAGATGGAGGGAGGACAGAGCCAAGCTGAACCAGTGAGACAAAACAAAATCACTTTAGGCAGATCACCTGGATTTGCAGAATAAAACTAGGATCCTCACTCCCAAAGGAGGGACCTCATCTGTGGGAAACCCTAAAGTCCAGGAGAACAGGGACAGATCTTGATCTCTGTGAACACAAGGTGGGTAGAAAATTCAAGTCTCAATATCAGACATCCAGGCCCTCCCCCACAGACAGGCAAGTGGTTTATTCCACTCTGCCGTTCTAGGAGCACTATTAAAATCAATTCACCCACTACAGGAGGCAGCTGCACAGGCTGCATTGGGACCCATCTCACTGCAAATAGCAAGTGAAATGCCCAGCTGCAGATCCTTGTATGCTCTGTACTCAATGCTGTTTAAGTAAAAGTTACTTGACTGGATTTTAGAAATGCCGACTATTTGCTCTGTGACCCTGATTTGCTTCCACATTCCACTTCCATCTCAGCAGCTTTTAAATCTTTCTCTTTGGCTAATAGAAATCGAGATAAATATGCTGGACGAGAAGCTGATCAAGTTTCTGGCCTTGCAGAGAATACATCAGCTTTTCCCCTCCCGGGTCCAACCTTCACCGGGCAGTGTCGGGACACATCAGCTGGCTTCTGGAGGGCACCACACAGAAGGTGCGCATGTACACACCTGTCACCACATCATCAGATCTCCCCTCTACGTGTGCGAATGGTCACCTTGCCTCCATGGAGAATCTGAGCTTCCAGTATTCAAATCTTCTTGTGCGCTTTTCATGGGCTTAATAAAGCACCATGGTTTTTTTCTGAAGAGAGCAGGAACAAGATGGCAACCACAGCTTTCTTATCAGACTTGGGGAAGTCTGCTGTAACTTTCTTTCATATATAAGTCCACTTTGAGACACAGCAAAGCAGCTACCAGTACCTTTGGGTATATGTAGTGTACTTTCTGCTTACTTGCTTTCAAATATTTGAATTAGAAGGGCTTTCCGACTGAGTGCAGTGGCTCACACCTGTAATCCCAGCACTTTGGGAGGCTGAGGCGGGAGGATCACTTGAGCCCAGGAGTTGGAGACCAGCCTGGGCAACACAGTGAGACCCTATCTCTACAAATAATTTTAAACTTAGCCAGGCATGGTGGCATACACCTGTAGTCCCAGCTGCTTGGAAGGCTAAGGTGGGAGAATCGCTTGAGCCTGGGAGGTCAAGGCTGCAGTGAGCTATGATTGCACCACTGCACTCCAGCCTGGGTGACAGGGTGAGACCCTGTCTCTAAATAAATAATAAATAAATAAAATTTTTAAAAGAATGGCTTCCCAAGAAGGAACTTTTCAAGTTCAAGGTGAGAAATAGAATAACCGTAGGCCAGCCTTCTGGAAATTTTCCCCAAGTGGTTAACTCTGTTTCAGGTATGTCTGAGCACTGGCCATTAAAAGCCTTGCTGCTTCAAAGTGTGGTTCCCAGACCAGCAGCATCAGCAGCCCCTGAGAGCTTGTTAGAAATGCAGAGCTCAGTGCATTGGTTTTTGCCTATTTTTAAAGAAAACAGCAAAAGAAATGCAGAGCTAAGGCCCCTCCTCAGACCTATTGAATCAGAATCTGCATTTCAACAAGATATGTAGGCAATTCATATGCACATTAAAGTTTGAGAAACACTGGTCCATGCGGTCTGTTTTTCCATGTTCTCCCTATAGTACCAGCTGGAATATCCCAGATTAGCCAACCAGGAGCCCAGGAACTTACAGAGTACTGTCATCTCTGACTTCTCTGACTATCTTCAAAGATGGTCCTCTGCACCCTGTGTTGGAAATGCTGTGGGGTGGGGAGAGAAAGTCTACCCTGCAGCAGCTCAGTGCTGGATGTGAGTTTGGAAAGATGAGTCATCCAGCGGGATTTTCTCCAGGCCATGAGCCAAAAGTCCAGATTTTGTTGGTTTATGTTTGGATCACAGGATCTGAGTTTCTGAATGATCCTATTCCTATGTTTGTCTTGTAGTGCAAAGAAAGGAGGTACAGGCCCGAGCTGTGTTCTACCCCCTCTTAGGGTTGGGAGGAGCTGTGAACATGTGCTATCGAACCCTCTACATCGGGACAGGTGAGCCAGCCAGGAAGCTGGGAGAGACACTGAATCTGTTCAGCCCTAAAGACTGATACCCTTACCCACAGAAGTTAGAAAGGGGTGAGGGAAGCCCTTTCCAGAGTTGACTGCTTTAAACCAGTGGATAGCTAGACAAGATAAATTAAGAATAGAGACAATCAGCCGGTCACAGTGGCTCACGCCTATAATCCCAGCATTTTGGGAGGACGAGGCAGGAGGAACACTTGAGCCCAGGACTTCGAGACCAGCCTGGGCAATATGGTGAAACCCCATCTCTACCAAAAACAAATACAAAAAATTAGCTGGGCACATGCCTATAGTCCCAGCTACTTGGGAGGCTGAGGTGGGAAGATCACCTGAGCCTGGGAGGTCAAGGCAGTGATCCTATTCATGCCACTGCACTCCAGCCCGGGCAACAGAGTGAGACCCTGTCTCAAAAATAAAAGAGACGATCAGTTCCTTGTCTTCCCTTGTTCAGGCCCTTTTGCTTTGTCTTTGCCCAGTGTTGCATCAGCAGAGATGAAAGTCAGCTCTGACTACTGCCCAGGGAGGCACTTTAAACACTGCGGGGAAGAACCAAGGAGAAGGCAGATGCTTTGTCCCTGGTGGTCTTTGAAAGAGTGATAGGCTCACACATACCCAATCTTCAGTTAGCCCTGTATCTGTTTTTTGTTTTGTTTTGTTTTCCCTAGAAGTCCTAGAGACAGATAGTTCTATATCTGGTACAGAAGGACAGACAGATTAGTCCTTACCCTAGAAACTTCCCTTTCTTTAAGGTGATATGATTTTCTAGGCTCTGCACCCTCTTGTTGTATTTTCATAGAAATATCCCATCCTCTTCAGTAGCTCACTGTTCCCTTCTGGGTAGCAGCCACATGTTCTAAAGCAGATCAGCTGGCAGGGACAGTTGTTCTTTATCAGGAGCTTGGAAAAGACATCAGTTTTTGTTCAAAAAAAAAGGGGAGGGCCCTGAGCTACTCACCCTTGAAGTCTCTGCTAGTGCCAACCCAGAAGCTAACTCCCTCCCTGTCTCACCTCCCCGACACATGCACCTTACAATCTGTTCTCTGCCTTCCTTTCCTCTACTCCTGCCATCTTGCAGGAGCTGACATGGATGTGTGCCTTACAAACTATGGTCACTGTAACTACGTGTCCGGGAAACATGCCTGCATATTCTACGATGAGGTGAGGGCTGGAGATGCGGTGGGAGGGAGCTTTCCCAACCTAAGGCCTCTCCCAAGCAGTAGGTTTTTGTTCAGTGCCCTGAGGGGAGGGAAGAGGGATTGGGAGTCCTCTCCTTTTCTTCCCTCCCTGTCATTCCTGGAGGAGGACAGTCTTGATGTAAAACAGCATCCTACCAGGGGTACCTGCTTCACAGGAGCAGGGCTACCATTTTTCCTGAGGTTAGTCACAGGCACAGCAGAGGGAGCCTACCCTAAAGCAGGGGAGGGGACCAGCATAGAAGGAAGCCAAGCCCTGTGGATGTGTCCCTGTGAATTTCATTATCATCATGGGCCAGTGAGTATCACACCAAGAGGAGCGGTGCTGAGAAGGCAGAGTGAAGGAGGATTGGGAGAGTAGGGGGTGTGGGACACCGGAAGGAAGGCTTCCCTGAGGAGGTATCTGCAGCCCCCTTCTGAAAGGACAGGGGCCATGACTGGGGAGGCAAGTAAGGGCTCCCTAGGTAGAGCAGCACGGCCTTCTCCATATGTCCTCTCCCCCTAGCCCCATGCCCCACACAGCCAACCACACATCTTATCTCCCCTCCTCCTCCTCAGAATACCAAACATTATGAGCTGTTAAACTACAGTGAGCATGGGACAACGGTGGACAATGTGCTGTATTCATGTGACTTCTCGGAGAAGACCCCGCCAACACCCCCAAGCAGTATTGTTGCCAAAGTGCAGAGTGTCATCAGTAAGTTGGAGCAGAGGTCTGTGGCCACAAAGCTGAGGCCGCAGTCAGGGTGGTTCTGACTTGCTGCCCATGGTCTGTCTCTTGCCTTCTTAGTCCTATTGGCCAAGCTCTACTTCCTCATGGGCCCAGGGCAGGCCACAGAGAAGCAAGTGCTGAGTACCCCCATGTGTGTACACACCTGTGGGGATTTCAGACTCCACCAACCCTTTCTGAGCATCCTTCATCCGTAGTCATGCAGCAGTTGGAATGGGGAGATGCAGGAGCCCAACCTTGGCAAACAGCCCACATGGGTTGGCTGCTCACTGTTCCTCTTCTGTGACCATCCCCCTTTTTCCCAGGGCGCCGCCGGCACCAGAAACAGGATGAAGAGCCAAGTGAGGAGGCAGCCATGATGAGTTCCCAGGCCAAGGGCCGCAGCGGAGACCCTGCAATTGCAAAGCCAGCAGCTCAAGCTTGATTGGGGGCAGTGGGGCCGGCTGGGAGGGCACGGCCTTACTGCACCATGGCAGCTACATCAAGCTGGGCTGCCTGCAGTTTGTCTTCAGCATCACTGAGTTTGCGACCAAACAGCCCAAAGGCGATGCCAGCCTGCTGCAGGATGGGGTCTTGGCCGAGAAGCTCTCTCTCAAGCCCCACCAGGGCCCTGTGCTGCGCTCCAACTCCGTTCCCTAGGACTGGCAGCTACCCTGCTACTGGCCTGTACACCCACCCAAGACTCCTGCAATGCAAAAATGTACACAAACCAAGCCCGGGTGTTTTCTATACTCTACCAGAAACGCTTCAACTACAATCTTTGCATGAAATGAAGAAAACCTTTTGACTGTTTTTTAAAAATCCTTTTTCTTTCCTCAAGTTCTAGGGGGCATTTGCACATATATTTGTACTCAACATTTCATGGGAAAGCGGCAAACCCGAGCTGAGGAACAGCGTGGGCAGGGAGGGAAAGACCCATGGTCTGGACACTTCCTCCAACACAAAACCCTTCCCCACCCATCTACTACTCCCTCCCCCTCGCCCGCCGTTGTAAAATAATCAGAAACTTGTTCTATTTTGTGGCAGTGACAATAGTTTTATATTAAAGAAAAAATACAGTTTTCATACAGCAAAATCTATACAATATCATTGTTTTATTTAATATAAAGATCGCTACCCACCTTCCTTCCATGGTTCCCACCCTCCACGTTATTTTCCCTTTCTGCAGCAGTTGCACTACAGGTAGCTACTGTGTATTATGGACAAATGAGAAATGAATTCTTTTTCTGGCTGTCCATCTGTTTTATTTCAAATAAGGAAAAGTGTATTTGGATTTTGTGTAAATACATCTAGTGATGACATTTTTTCAATGTTTTTAAAAACCGTGTACAGTACTACATGTGGTAGAGCGTTTTCTCAAATTGTCTATTGTAGCAAAAATGTTTTTGTCGTAAACCTGTTTTGTCTCCTTTTTTTGTTCTCTCGCCACTTCTCTCCTCTTCTTCCTGCCCCTGGTTCCCTCCTCTCCTCCCACCCCCACAACCAGTACCAATGTACATAGTAATTGTAATGTTTTAGACTTTACAGAACTTTCCTGTATTCTGTATATAAAAAACAAAAATACTTCAAATTATGTTTTCTGACTGTCTGTCCTACCTGTCATCACCCTCAGAGGAGACCCTCTTTTAGATCTGGGTCTAGCAGGTGGGGGGCCTTTTGAACAGGTCTCATTCCCATAGGGAAGTTTGGGAGGGGAAGTGTTGGAGAAAAGTGAGCCAGGGTGGATGGAGGACAATGGAAGGACATGGGTGCGTCTGCTGGCCGCGGGGGCTGTTTCTTCAGAGAACCCTGACTGATAGTGGAATCCAGTCTTGACATGTCACTTCTAGTCATGTAATCTGCAGTCATGCTTCTCTACAACTGCTATTCCTCATCAGAAAATGAGTCTGCTGCATTACCTTAATTCTCAAGTCCCGGGAACCTTCATTAAACCAAATTTCATGCTTTCCTCCCAGATCTTAGTGAAAAACTCTGCAGGAAGTTTTCCTGAGGACAGCCTCCTCAGATGGAGAGCACCTCTGTGTATATTCCAGAACTGTTTGTGTAGGTGCATCTGCTTGTGTGTCAGGATTTTGCCTTACGGATAAAGAATGAATATTCTATCCCCAGCCTCATCCCACAGCATCTACAATGGAAACTGGCCCCGGAATCTGAGGTCTGTCCCTGACTTTCATCTGCCCATCTAGGCTTCATCACTCTGCTCCCGGTGTCCTGATGGGCTTTTTGAACTCCCTAAGGACAGAAACTTGAATATCTTCCGCTCAGAATTTCCAAATCTAACTACACTGCTGGGCACAGCATAAGTACCAAATATCAGGTTCCAGGTTGTACTGAATTTCTCAGGCAACGGCCTTCTGCCCTGGAATGCCCTTACGCATTCGTTCCTAGCTGGCCCCACCCTTCTTGCCATCATGGTCACTTGTAACTGAGTGATGGAGCTTCTCTGCCTGTCTCTGTCACCCGTGAGAACCATTCCAAAGGCAAATTTCCTCCTGAAAGGCAATAATAGATTTTACTGTCTATCTCTTCCGGCTTCCCTTCAGCCATGGAAGGCACTAGTGGGGCTGAGGTAGGGAGATACAGAGCGGGAATGAAGGAGTGAATTCTGACACCCCTTAACTGCCTGTGCCACCTTGAACAGTATCCCCTCTAGCCTGTGTGGGGAGAACAGGGAAGAATCCTAGAAGCTGGGGGCTGGATGTGAAGATAAAAAATTGAAGGATTTGGCCCAGTGCAGAGGCTGACACCTGTAATCCCAGCACTTTGAGAGGCTGAGGCAGGTGGGTCACAAGTTCAGAAGTTTGAGACCAACCTGGCCAACACAGTGAAAACCCATCTCCACTAAAATACAAAAATTAGCCAGGTGTGGTGTCACACACCTGTAATCCTAGCTACCCTAGAGTCCGAGGCAGAAGAATTGCTTGAACCCAGGAGGCGGAGGTTGCAGTGAGCCGAGATCATGCCACTGCATTCCAGCCTGGGCAACAAGAGCAAAACTCCATCACAAAAAAAAAAAAAAAAAAAAAAGACAGCTGGACATGGTGGCTCACGCCTATAATCCCAGCACCTTGTGAGGCTGCTGAGGCAGGCGGATCACCTGAGGTCAGGAGTTCGAGACCAGCCTGGCCAACATGGCAAAAACCCCTCTCTACTAAAAATACAAAAATTAGCCGGGTGTGGTGGCAGGGACCCGTAATCCCAGCTACTCAGAAGGCTGAGGCAGGAGAATCACTTGAACCCGGTAGGCAGAGGTTGCAGTGAGCCGAGAGGGTGCCATTGCATTCCAGCCTGGGCAACAGAGGGAGACTCCCTCTCAAAAAAAAAAAAAAAAAAAAGGAAGGAAGGGAAGAAAGAAAAGGATTTGTTCCTAGAGGGAAAAGCATCTAGGACTAGACTCAAAGACACACGTATATTCATGTACACACCTGACTTCAGACGGGAGGGACCGTGCTACATACACCTCGAGTAAACATATGGAGATATTCAAGCACATGCATTGGCAGAGACTACAGATGCAGGCACATACCTGGAGGGACTCTGACGGAATGCACACAAACACCTACAAGGTGCTTACATGGTCTCACAGGATCGAGAGGCACGCACACAACCCGAAGGGTGATCCTAGGGACCATGGGCACATACACACCCGGAGGTCATTCACATACAAGCGTTGTAGATGCATGCACATACCTAGCATGCACTCCCAGGGTGTCCGTGGACACTGACACCCAGGTGTTCACACAGGCACACACCTAGGGGGCGCTCCCAGGGCCCAAGTGCACACACGCACCTCAAAGGTGTCCACGGAGGCACACGCCCCCAGGACACCGACGCACGCCTAGGGGGCGCTCGCAGGGCCGGCGAGAACCCGCACGCACACACACCCCTGCCCAGCCTCCTACCAGCCTCCGCCTTCGGAGGCTGACGCGCCCCGGCGCCGTTCCAGGCCTGTGCGGGGCGGATCGGCAGCCGCCTGGCGGCGATCCAGGCCGGCGCGGGGCCTGGGCGGGAGCCGGGAGGCGCGGCCGGCATGGAGGCGCTGCTGCTGGGCACGGGGTTGCTGCTGGGCGCTTACGTGCTTGTCTACTACAACCTGGTGAAGGCCCCGCCGTGCGGCGGCATCGGCAACCTGCGGGGTCGCACGGCCGTGGTCACTGGTGAGTGCGGAGGCGGGTGAGTGCGAGCTGGCGGGGCGCGCGGAGGGGAGGCCGGGCCGGCGGTAGCAGCAGCCCGCCAGGCTCGGCTCAGCTCGGCTCGCGCCTGCGGTCCGCAGGCGCTAACAGCGGCATCGGGAAGATGACGGCGCTGGAGCTGGCGCGCCGGGGAGCGCGCGTGGTGCTGGCCTGCCGCAGCCGGGAGCGCGGGGAGGCGGCTGCCTTCGACCTCCGCCAGGTGAGAGGCAGCGGGGGCGCGTGGGACCGTGAGCCGAGAACCCGCCGGGACACAGAGAAGCCAGCAAAGGGGCTGCGGAGGATCCGGGTCCAGGGAGGAGAGTGCGGCGCGGGCGGCTGAGCGCGAAGAGGGAGGGCACGGAGCGCCGGGGTCACCCGAGGAAGGCGCACCAGAGCCGAGTGGGGGAGGGCTTCCTGAAGGCCGTAATTGCAGTTCTGAGACGTTTAAGCATCAGTAGAAGTTGGGTTAATGATTAGTAGGAAAGGGAACAGCAGAGGGCACAGCATAAGCAAAGGCCCTCAGTAAGCAAGAGAGCTGGACTGATCTGAAAAACTGAGAAAAAGATTTAATGAGGCTGAAGCACAAAGTATGAGGAAGATGGGCAAATGAGGGGGCTAGAGGACCTTCTAGAGCCTATTGAGAAGCTTGGATTTTATAGATTGGGCAGCACAGACCACTGGAGACCATAAACGGCCCTCAGTAGGCTCCGGACTGTCAGAATAGCCTTTGGAAGGAACCCCTTTGTGGCTGCGTGGTGCTTGGAGTGGAGGGGCAAGAGCGGGCGAGAGGAGACCAGTGAGAAGTCTGTTACAGATTTGGGTAAATGGTAATGGGGAAAGGAGGTGATAATAATAGCAAGTACCTACCCAGTGCTGCTGGAGTGTATTTTACACATGTTAACTCCTTTCATTCTCACAACAGCTGGGTGAGATTGGTACTGTTATTATTATTCCCTTTATGCAGTGAGAGAACTGAGGCCCAAAGAGATTAAGTATCTTGCCCAAGGTCACACTCTAGTAAAGGCAAAGTCAGGATTTGAATCCACACACATCTAGTAAACTCTAAGACGTAGGGGCAGATTTTATTAAACAGTAGGAGATGAACTCTCAGAATTTGGTTCCTGGGGAGAGAGGGAAGAGGAGAAAGATGCCTGGTGACAAGCCCAGCCCTTGCCGCTCCACAGGAGAGTGGGAACAATGAGGTCATCTTCATGGCCTTGGACTTGGCCAATCTGGCCTCGGTGCGGGCCTTTGCCACTGCCTTCCTGAGCTCTGAGCCACGGTTGGACATCCTCATCCACAATGCCGGTGAGGGGCAGCAGTCCCTGTGGGGTGGGGGGTGGCGGGTGGCCAGGGGCAGCTGCCCCCTCCAGCGGAAGCCCTGCTGGGGCCAGTGGACACATGGGAAGGATGCCCCCTACTCCCATCTCATAGATAGGGATGCCAAGGCTGCAGAGCTCCTTCTGGAGCAGCCACTTACATCTAGCCTCTGCCCAAGGGATCAGTTCCTGTGGCCGGACCCGCGAGGCGTTTAACCTGCTGCTTCGGGTGAACCACATCGGTCCCTTTCTGCTGACACATCTGCTGCTGCCTTGCCTGAAGGCATGTGCCCCTAGCCGCGTGGTGGTGGTAGCCTCAGCTGCCCACTGTCGGGGACGTCTCGACTTCAAACGCCTGGACCGCCCAGTGGTGGGCTGGCGGCAGGAGCTGCGGGCATATGCTGACACTAAGCTGGCTAATGTACTGTTTGCCCGGGGAGCTTGCCAACCAGCTTGAGGGCACTGGCATCACCTGCTATGCAGCGCACCCAGGTGAGGTCTGGTTCTTCGGCTTCCGATTCCCCTCTCCTTTCCATGCCCTATCCTGTGCCCCTCACACCACTACCACCTCCCCACCCCCCAATCCCTCATTGAGTCACAGAATCTCAGAGCAGGAAGGAAGCATAGTCCAAGGAGAGACCTGTTCCTTGCTGATCTTGGAACCAGGCTCTCCTGGTTTAGGTTCTTCCTCTCACAGCACAAGCCTGGGTGCTGAGCCCTGGGGGTGTATGGCCATGAATAAGACCTGGATTCCCACCCCCAGGAGCCATCTGCACTGACTGAACTGATAATGATGATGATGATAGCTAATAATTTTCATTCATCTAAGAAGCATTTACCGAGTACCTACTCTGTATGAGGCATTATTTGCAGTGCTGGGGATATAGCAGTGAACAAAACAAAG